GGAACGGCCCCGACGGAGCCCGGTAGGGCTGGGGCGGGAGGCGCAGCCCGCCCGCGCCCCGCCGGTGGCTCTCGGCGGAGCCCCGGGCACCGGGCACCGGCCGGGCAGGTGCCTGCCACGCCGCCCCCGGCCCGGCGGCACCGGCCGCGGGCCGGAGCGGACCCCCGGTACCTCCCGCGGCCCAGCCCCAGCCCAGCCCCACCGAGGGCACCGGCGGGACGCGGAGCCGCTCCGCAGCCGCCCGCGGCGGGGGCGCCGGGACGGAGCCCTCACCGACCGCCAGGCAGAGCACGTCGAGCGCCACGAAGACCTTCCTGCGCTCCATCCCGCAGCCGTGCGGCCCCGCGGCCCGGCCCCGCGGCTCACATGGCCCGGAACGGCGCGGGCCCGGCCCGGAGGTAAAGTCCGGGCGGGGCGGGGCGGGGCGGAGCGGGACCCGGTGCCCCCGCCCTGGCCGGGGCGGGGCGGCAGCGGCGGGGCCGGGGCAGGTGTGGGGCGCGGCGGGGCAGGGACCCCTCCGGAGCCAGAGCCCCTCGCCCCTCGCCGCTTCCTCGGGCCCCGTCCCGGCCTCCGCGGCTCCGGCCCTCCCGAGTCCCCCGGTGCCCGCCCCGCCTGGCCGGGCTCCCCGCCTCGGCTCGGCTCCCTCCCGTGCCTGCGCCGAGGGGAAGGGGGAGACGAAAGCGAGCGAGGCCACTTTGGTACCGCCCGAGTCCCACCCGCCTTGGGCCTATGTCCTGAGAAGAAAAAAAAGGGGCAAAAAGGGAAATTTTGCCCCTGAAACGTGCTGGCTGCGCTGGTGGGGGCTGGAGCAAACATGAGGCTGGCTCGGTGGCTCGGTGGGTTCTTGAGGGGAAGCAGGGACGTCCAGGATGCAGCAGACACCGGTGTGAGCACGTAGGGTGGGACAGGAGCCGATTTACCCGTGGAGACATTGGGCTGGGTTTCCTGAGCCTCCTGGGGGCTCCCGGTGCTTCCCGTTGGGTTTGGGGACATGCTGAAACCCAGAATGGGGACAGGAGCAAAGGCTGGAGCACAGGTCCCACAGCAATTCCCTGGTGGGAGCAGGGACAGTCGCATCCCGGCTGGTTGCTCCGCGCCGGATGTCGGGAAGGAAACAAATAACACAGAAACCACCCATGGCTGATAACTGCGGGTGATTGAAGCCCAGCGTGAGCGGCCTGTGCAGAATGTCAAGGCTGTTTGTGGGAAGCCGAGGGCTACCCTGGAGTTTCAGGAGAGGGGACAGAATCACCGGCTAGCTTTTCCCTGCCCTGATGTGCCCCTGTGCAGCTTCCTCCTGCCCTCCAGTGCCATGGGGACCCTGGCACACCGCTGGGCAGGATTTGCCCCACACGTGCTGCCTGCAGACCCCAAGCAAACAACTGAGAGCCTCGAGGAAGGAGAGCTGGGGGGATACCCAGGCTGTGTCGTGGGGAAGATTAAAACGCTCTGTCTCAGCGCTGATAATTCCCCCCTTCTCGTGGGTGTGGGATGGCTGCGGGCCGGATCCGTGGGGACACAGATGTGACAGTGTGGTGCTCCGAGGACACGGCACGGACCCCCCGCGCTGGAGCGCGCAGGGGAAGCTCCGCACGGTCCCGCACGACTTTTCCCCACGGGGGCCCGAGGCTGCGGGCGGTGCCGCCCGGTACCGGCCCGGCCCGGCCCGGCCCGGGGCTGCGGCGGGGCCCGGGCCGGGTCCGGCGGCTCCGGGCGCGGCCCCGGGGCGAGGGCGGGACCCGGGCGCGGCGCTGCGGCGCCCCCTGCCGCCCGAGCGCCGCAGCTGCAGCCGGGCCCGGGGGCTGCGGAGCCCGGGCCGGACCCTGCCCCGGATCCCGGGGGGCTGCGGAATCCGGACCGGACCCTGCCCGGGATCCCGGGGGGCTGCGGAATCCGGACCGGACCCTGCCCGGGATCCCGGGGGGCTGCGGAGCCCGGCCCGGACCCTGCCCCGGATCCCGGGGGGCTGCGGAATCCGGACCGGACCCTGCCCCGGATCCCGGGGGGCTGCGGAGCCCGGCCCGGACCCTGCCCGGGATCCCGGCCCGGACCCTGCCCGGGATCTCGGGGGGCTGCGGAATCCGGACCGGACCCTGCCCGGGATCCCGGCCCGGACCCTGCCCCGGCTCCCGGGGGGCTGCGGAATCCGGCCCGGACCCTGCCCCTGGCCCGGATCCCGGCCCGGACCCGGCCCCGGCCCCTGCCTGGGATCCCGGACCAGACCCGGCCCCTGACCCTGCCCCAGAGCCCGGCCTGAACCGCCCCGCCGGGGGTCTGCAGAGGCCGGAGGATCCGGTCCTGCTGCTCGGTTTCCCGGGCCGAAAGCACCGTTTCGTGTCGAAGGATGCCACGGAGGGGAGGGACCGCGGTCCGTGCTGAAGGCTGCAAGCACAGCCGCGGTTCCTGCTGCTCATCGGGGCCTCGGGGAACCGCTCCTGTCCCTCCTGCCCTGGGCTGTGCCCTCAGGGGAGACCCGGGACAGGCAGGCAGGCAGAAGGAGAATTTAAGGAGTCTGTGATGGAGCAGAGACTGTGTGCTTGGGAAACACAATGCAGCTGCAGCAGGAACACTCCTCTTGCCTCCAGGAGCTTTTTCTGGTTGAAGTCTGGATGCACCCCTGCCTCTCAACACTCCAGGCCTGGCACAGGCTGACAGGATTTTAGAGGACTTGGGGCACCTGTGAGAGGAACAGACAGCTCCCTCCAGCTACAGCACGGGAAGGGAAAAACTCTGGGCCTCCTCCTAGGCTGGGATGGCATCCCTGGCACAGGGAATCCTGCCCTGCCTGGAGGAGAGCACTTGTGGAGAGCAGGAGAGGATCACACAGCAGAGGCAGGGACCCCATTCTTGTTTTGCCATCATTATACACTGGACTGTTGCATCTTGGCCTCCAAAAAGAAGACAGACTTCTGGCTCACTTTCAAATTAGGTTTTTAATTAAATAAATAACGGCGAGGGGCCTTCAAGGCAGTGTCACTTCACAGTGTAGGGCTGGGGGGCAAGGGAGAAAAGAGTCCAGCATTGGGAGCAGCTCAAAGTGAATGTGCTTTGTAAGAAGGAAAAAAGAAAACCCCAACAAAAAACAAAAAACAAAACAAAACAACAACAACAAAAAAAAAACAGAACCAAACATCCTCCCCCTCCCTGTCCCAGCCTTTTTCACCCCTCTCCCTCAAAGTTATGTGGAAAAAGCGCTGCACTCATGTTGAAAGACCCCATGCAAATCTGTAAACAACACTGAAGGACATAAAGAGATTTCTGCCTCAGCCAGCTCCCCTCTCCTTTCACTAGGGCTTGAAATAAACCAAAAGAAAAAAATGGTTTCAGGAAAAGTAATGGAGGAGATGCCAAGGCCTGGCCCTCCCTGGGAGGGCTGCCTGTGCTCTCACCCTGCCTCCTCTTCTCCCTTTGGCCAAGGAGCTTCCTCTCACCCCCAGAAAAGGGGCATCACAGCGGGCAGTTCCACTGCAGAGCAGGCACTCGTGTTTGCTTTCTGTTCCCAGCAGCCAGGAGCAGCTGGAGGGGCGGCCTCTGCTCACCACATCTGGCTTGGCAAAGCCAAGCCAGGTGAAGGCAGCTCCACGTGCCTGGGGCTCAGCACCTCCAGCACAGAGCTGGGGACTGAAGCAAACCCCTGCTAAAGCACACAAACCAGATCTGGGGCTTAGGAGGTGAGAGACAAGGTCTAATCCTGACATCCCGTGGGGCTGTTGGATGCTGTCTCCCTGCTCCTGCTGCAGGGCTAGGCACAACTTCCCAGGGCCAGGTAAAAGGAGGGTGCAGGCTCCTGGGTTTAGGTGCCTGCCAAATCCACTGCCAGCAGAGCCAAGTGCACAGTCACAGCCCCAGAGCCTCCACCAAAACCCTCAACCCAAGCCCCTTCCCAGCTGCAGAACACATCTGGAGGACCCACAGCTCTGTCTGCACCAAAGCCTTGCCCAGCAGGTGAGTGGAGAGCATTTCCTGCATGGGAAAAGGAGAATGAGAACACACTGAGCCAGTGGCCAATCCCAGACCTGGAACACACCTGGGAAGTGAGGCAGCTTTGGACTACAGCACACCCAAGGACAGGTTCCCGTGGCTCTGCACAGCACCTGGCACCTCCCTGAACATGGCAGAAAAGCCACACTTTCCTCTCAGAACAGCCTGTTTTGTGACACAGGGAGGGACAGGGATGCTGTGCTCCCCTGCCTGGGACTGTGCTAGCACCCATATCCCAGGCATCCTGGGAGCTAAGCAACCTCCTCCCTCTGCTGACAAATTGTTGGAACAAACTGGGAAGTTACAGATCTCTTCACCTGCATTCTACCCTCTGGCACTTCAGCTCAGAGAAGATCAGGTTATCCCCAGCCAGCAGCACAGCTCCTGGCCAGCATCACTCTGAGTCTAGGAACTCCTGTTAGTCCCGAAGAAGTTCTCCCTGGCCCAGCACTGCATGGGAAGGTGAGAAGAACTCGAGTGCACAGGATGCTGCTGCACATGCAGCATCCCTTTCCAAAACCTGACACTTCTGCCCGAGGGCTGGGCCAGGCCTGGTCCCACCTGCAGCTGGTGCAGTGTCAGGAGACGTGGCTGCTGGAGGGGAAGCAGCTTGTGCCAGCCTGTCACGAGCCACGGCTGCTGGGAGGAGGTCAGGGTGAGTGCTCCTACTGCAGCACGAAGGGCCAAGACTCGTCAGCCTCCCTTGGCATCGCCATGCCCGTCTCTGCAGGAAACTGCCCTGCAGCCTCCCAGGCTCTCAGACCCCCAGCCTGCACCCTCACCATGATGGTGACACATCCCTCTTCTCAAAGCACCTCTGTCCTCGGACTGTCCCGCTGGGGCCAAGGGACACGTCCCCTGTGCCGAGGCAGGGACTCTCTGAGCGGACTGGCATCACCCAGGGTGACACACGGCCAACTCAGGAGGGGGGTGAGGGACCTCCCCACTCAGGAAAGCCAGCCACCACGTTGCACAATTGTGTCAGGATACACTGGAGCAGAAAGGTGTTTGGTTTCACTGCAGCCTTGGATCGAGGAGGATGGAAAGACGGATTCCGACCAACAGCTCCAAACTGTCCCTGCAGGACAGTGGAAGTTCCAGAATTTCACTCAGTCAGGTCCAAGTCCTTGCTGGGTCTGTGACAAATTTGTGACTGGAGACTCTCACTGTGACAGAGGCTCTGACCGAGCCACAGGTGCTGGGCAAGCCTGATGAGCAGTTAGGAAGGTATTTACATCTCCGATGCCAATGAGACCGAAATCTGTGACCGATAAGGACACTTGCGCAGGGGCCACCACTGCCTCAGGGTCTCTGTCCAAATCCACAGGGCCAGCAATTAAAGGCAACCCCTCGTTAATGTCTGCAGGGAGAGTGAAGTCCATGGTTATTGCCTCAGCAGAGTTCTGCAAGGTCTCCTGCTTCTCTGGCAGTCCTGGTGCCGCGGGTGGCAAAGCAAAGAGCTCGGGCTCAGAGGGGGTGGCAGTGTGGCGTGGGCAGGGCACAGGGACGGCGCCCGAGGACGTCTCCTCCGAGGGGTCAAAGGAGCAGTTGGTCTCCGAGGGGGTGCTGCACTCGTAGCCCTGCCCTGACTCGCTGATGCTGCCCAGGCTGCAGGCCGTGCTCTCCACGCTCAGGGGCTCTGCCCAGGTGGGCACAGCCAGGAGGGAACAGAGAGGGGGACAAGGAAGAGAAAGCCACAGTAAGTCCACAGTAAGTCCACAGTAAGTCCCACTTAACCCCAACAGTATTTGTTAGATGGCACAAGAGTTTCTTTGTCACAGCAACCAAGATCCCCCATCAGCCCCTACCCAGGGAAGGCAAGATGCCGACAGCAGATGGGAGGCCATCAGTGTTTCTATGGAAATTAAAGGAAACCTCACAGACATACTGCAAGATAAGCCAAACCCTAAATCCTATCCCCTCGTGCCAACAACCCCTGGGAGCTGCCCACACAAAGCCTTCATCTGCTGTAGGACAGTGAGGGAATGAACCCATGTGGGGCTCCCTGCAGATCTCGCAGCCAGCTCTGTGTGAAAGCAACTTGCACCAGACTTCTGAGGCCTGAGCCCAGCCTCTGGAGGAGCTGCCTGTGTCAGTGCTTTGGAAGCACCTCATTCAGGTGTCCAGTGCACAATCCTTTTGTTTTGGGAGTGAGCTAGGCCACCCCTTCAAGCCCAACACAGGAACAACTGTTTTATAAAGTCATCTCTGGTCAATGCAGAGACAGACAATGTCAGCATCTGCTGACACCAAAACTCCCTGGCAGATGGATAAAAAAGGGTTACCTGTGCTCTCAATTGCTATCTGATCTTGACCAAAGTGAGCATCCAGGCAGCCAGCTGCAGAGGGAATTGGTGGGGAGCTCCGAGAACGACTCGTGTTTTCCACCTCAACCCCATCCAGGTCATTGTCAGTGAAATCCCTGTGGGGAAAGAGAGAGAGCCTTGCCACCACCTGCTGAGCAGAGAGATGCAGGCAGGAGAAAGGGTGACTGGGATTAAAACCCATCCACAAATAAAGCAATGGGACTGCAGAGACATCGCTAGAATGAATGTCCATCCTTCCCTGCTCTGCAGAGCCTGGTTTAGGCTCTGCCCTGAGGAGGTGATCTCAGGTAACAGTGTGGCCAAGACCAGCCCATGATAAACCAAAATGGGCTCTCCAGCTTCCTAAAGAGCTCTGCCCCCAGTTCTGTGAGCCTCAGCCTGTTCCAAAGGGAAATAAATACATGGGAACATCCAGTTTTTCATGAAATGACTGCAGTGGATCATTAGCGTGTCAGCAAAGAGCAAGTGATGAGAATATATTTTCCCACCCTGGGAAGATTTCAAATTGCAGGTATTTTCCTGTGTTGCATCAGAAATAGAAAAAAAAAATCTAAGCCTTCATCTGATGTTTTTAATTGATTCAGCTTCAATATTTCATTTTGACCTATTAAGAGATTTCCGTTTCAACCTTTTTGAAAAGGTGTATTTTGAAAAGTACCTTCTGTAATTAGCATACATTTCAAAGGGAAGAATTTGCCTCAAAGGGAAATTAATTCAGATTCCAAACCACCAGAAATAAGTGCATTTTAGAATTTAAAAACCTCCCTTCCCAAAACCTCATCAAACTGAGCTCTTTCACCAAGTCAGCTCTGAATCCCTGTTCCCCAGTCTTTTGTGGATGCATTTGATTGAAACAAAACTGCTTTTGACACACAGAAAAGGAAAAGGAAGTCCACAGTTGTTTTATCTTCCCTCCCCACACCAACTGAGTGTTTGTGCTCTGAGCACGCCCCGTGCATCCCTCCATCCTCCCACCCGAGAAACCTTCTGGAGAAGAAAGCGCAGTCTGTTAAGCGGAGGTGCTTTGCAGCAGGAATCTTCACTGGGAGGTTAATATTACTAATTTTAGTGTGAGAATATTCCACGCACGTGGCTCCAGGGTGGAGGACGTACTTCTTCCTTCCTAGACGAGTCTGCTGAGTGAAGTAGTCGTAACGCTCGGATTTTTTCCACATGTAGTAATACTCCACGCACTCGCCCACCGACCGCGTGCGGACCTGAGGAGAAACACCCCAGTCAGGACAGGCACCCCCATCCAGGTGCATCTCCTGGAGCAAGGAGCTATTTTCCCATTTAACCAGCACAGAAAATTAGAAGTGCATTACAGAGATTTACATTGCTATGGACACATTGCTGCAGAACAGAAGCACGTACTGAGGTTTCCGAGGTGGCCAGAGAAAAGAACTCCCCACAGCACACAGCTGCTGTCACAGACCCGTGTGGGCCACACACACTCGTGCAGGACTTTCCTGTGCTTCCAGCACCAGCACACTTAGCAGAGAGAGCAAACCTGCATCCATTGTCACTGGCCAGCGTCAACATGCCTACAATTAACCAGTGGTAGAACTGGACTCTCTGGTTCTGCCAACTCCCAGCACAGCAGCATGTCCCGGGGCCCAGCTCTCCCTACAACAGCATCTGCCATTCTAGAGGACCCCAGGGGACTTTACGAAACATCCACATGCTCAACTCACTCATTCACAGAAGTACTGCAAGGGCTGAGAGTTTGGAAAGAACTTTTGAGACTCCAGAAAGGGCTAATCAGTAATTAACTGACATCACTCATGCAGGTCAGTGGTGTTTGTGACTTCTCCCACCTGGAAAATAAGGCAGAGCAGGGCAGTGAACAGCCCATCACCTGCTGGCATGAGTCAACACAAAGCCTGGGATTGGAACTCGGCCATCCTGAACTGCCTGTGTCAGCCGAGGCCCGGAGCACACCTCTGGTGCCCAAGCACCTGCCTCCTTCCCCTGCTCCTCACCTGGGGGGAGCAGCCTTACCTTGTTTGCTTGGATAAGGTGAAAGTTTTTCCCATGGACCCTAAAGCCATGTTCAAAATTTCTACATTCTTCCTCGCTCCAGGCACAAAGCTCATCTGTAGCAGAAAGAAAGAGTTGGGGGAGATGTGCACAATCTAGAAAGAGTTGCATGTGCCTTGATGAACCCAAATGAGGGGGGTCCTCACCTCTGATAACCTTCACGTTGAACCGTAACCTTCGCAGTGCCTCTTCTGCATTGAAGTTGCATTTCACCAGCTCGTACAAAGCCTGGGAAACAGAAGGAAATCACTCACAGCACGTACCTGAGCACCACACCACAAACCAGCCCGCTCATGACTCACATCTGGTCTCTTAAAACTTCTGTTTCCCAGGAGCCACCTTGCTGCTAACCCCAGCCTGACCACCAACAGAGATTATCCCACTTTTTAAGGCATTGGATTACAAACCCTGGGACTCAACAGATGCAGTCCCACCAGAATCTAACCTGGCTAGCTTGAAGTAAACACAGCTGCTCTGAAATGGTTGATCTGCTGACTTTCCCAGTCTTCCCAATGGGAGGGTAACCAACCTCGCCAGAACGCAGCTGGGCACACACCCTCACTTATCCACCAGGATCACTGGAATTTGACCTCATTCTGCCCTCTGTAGGGTACGTGGCACTGCTGGGCCAGCACCACCTGGGTCTGTGTGGGCTGCAGGAAGCCCTGAGCTCACCTGCTCGTTGTCCTTGACCACCTCTCCCTCTGGCAGGCTGGTGCTGGACAGCTCGTCCCACTGCCGCTTCACGGCGCGGTACAGGAACTCTTCCACCTCCCTCTCGGGGAGGATGTTTGGGTCCCAAAGCAGCTGATCTTCATTCTCATAGGCTAACAGAAAAAGCACTGAAATAAGATAATCAAACAGAGAATTCTGCTGCTTTTTGAGAAGTGGTCTGCACGGACATGCATGGGGGAGACAGAGGAGGGAGGAAATCTTTGCTTGGTACTCCAGCTCGGCACTAGAGATGACAAACATCTCTCAAGGCACTGCATGTTCCCTCCTGATTTTGGAGGCAGATAAGCTCTTTATATCTCTTTTAGGGCCTTTGGCACGGGCTCAGCTTGTTTCCATTGTTTCAGAAAGGTTGGCTGACAAAGTTTTTGTTATCATATTCTCAAAGATTGCTGTTTTGATTAATTAATCCTGGCAAACAATGAACATTTTAGCTTTCTAAAATTTCCAGAAGCTCAACAAGCTGGCACTCATACTGCACTCATTACTGGACACAATCTGCAAATCAAGGCACCTCTGTCTAGTCTGCAGAAATCCCAAAATCAGAAAGAGATCACCTCCAGGGAGCACTGAATGACACTAACTCACTACTTAAGGAAGATGTCAGAGAGAATAAATCACAGCATCCCCAGATGGGTGTTCCTTCTCTTTGGTTACAGCTGAGACCCCCTCCTGTCACACCAACCCAGTTCTCAATGAGCTTCACCAATTCTGTCCCTGTGTTCCCAGTCCTATTAACTCAGGCTCATTTCAGCCAGTAAATCTGATTGTCAGCACTGAAAGCTGCCGAGCCTGGAGATCCAGAGCAGGACTGGAGATCCAGAGCAGGACTGGAGATCCAGAGCAGGACTGGAGATCCAGAGCAGGACTGGAGATCCAGAGCCCATCAGAACCTCCTGCCAGCAGCCCTACCCCCAAACCAGGCACAAAGAAGAGGCTGCCTTACCTTTTTGCCTGTGCCTGTTTAAACGGAGGATGGGAACAGTGGCCTGGTACTGAGGTCCAACCATGATCTCCTGAAATCCCACGACAGAGAGGTGAGAAAATTGAAATGGGAAACGCTCCACGCAGGCTGTACTTCATGATTTATGGACTACACCACTACAAGGCTGATTTATTTACTGGTATCCGCCTCTGTCAGTATTGTTTCTAGTGAACCCTGACTATTTTATAGGGTAACTAAGAAGATTTACTACCAACCAGATAATACTGTGGGGACCTTCAGCATTTACATAGTTTTAATGTAAAGGATCTATGGCAAGCAGCTAAGGTTGGAAATAAAGCAATGCAGAGGTTCTCCTGCAGCCTTCACAGCCAGGATGAATTTGGAAGACTGCTCCTCTCTTTAGAAAGAAGGTTCCTTCTCAGTAAATCCTGCTGGGAATACTGCAGAGCATTTCACCTTTATAGGGCTACAGCTGCAGATTTAATTTACCAAGGCACAACAGCCTTACTTTCCTTATTTGACACAGAAGATAATTTCAAGATTATATTAAAAACCCCTCTTGTAACCCACATCTGCCACTGCCACCCATAAAATGCAAGGCATTAAGAAGTCAATTGGGGAAATAGCATAGTGCTTTGGTGTCATGCATTTTTCAAACTCAGGAGTGCCCCTTCCCAATGCACTCAGGTCATTTACCTTCTTACACTCATTGGATGGGATGGAATCCACCTCTGAGTCCTCAGCCATGGAGGAAGCACATGGTGATGAACATGGCTCTTTGTCTTCATCAGCAAGGAAGTTGTTTGCTTTGTGGGAAAGGAAAAAATCTGTAGTTACAAATTTTTTATTCTGTTCCTTTACGTTCCCTCTCTTTCCCTTCATTTTCTGTCCTAAAGTCCCTTTCAGCATGGTCTACAGTGACAACTTACCTGTATTTTAATTTTCTCACTTTAAGTAAAAGAATTTGGACACTTGCCACATGGATGGCCAACTTGGGGAAGCTCAGACTCCTTAATATTGCAAAACAGCAGAAGAAATAACATCACTTCGTGCAGAGTCCCTGTCACGTGCTTTGGCTTCCCACGTATATTCCAACATTTAGGAACTGCCACAATCCATCACTCCATTACTACTACTGAATTTATTCACTTGCAGAGATGTCAGATGAGGTACTGATCTTTCAGACTGCAATTACAGCAGGCAGCAAAACAATTCCCACTCTCTCAGTATTCTGAGAAAATTCTCCCCTCATCCCACTGCTCATCAACGCTCTGTCCTGTCCTACCCAAAGCCCGGTAACGCCTCTGCCATGCAGACAGTCCCTAGGAGGAAAAGTGGAAAATCTGATGTCAGGAGACTGACAAAATTAAGAGAACCAATTCTCACCCTCCCCTGCACATCATATGTAAAAGTGAACAGCAGCTACTTAGGAACTAGTGACACATACAGCCAGGCTGGTTTGGGAATAAGTCCGATGCATCGTGGGACGTGACGGATGGAGTCAGATCATCAGCTGAAGATTGTGTCTCCTCCTCTTCTTCCCCTGAAAGCAAATCCTTCGCTATTTGTTCCTTTTAACAACAACAAGAAAGTGAAAAAATATTTTTAAATTAAAAAAAAATATACGAGGGGGAAGTGAGGCCTAGAGTAAAAGCATTTTTGGCCAACAGTGGCCACATCCACAGCTCTCTTCACCCTCCCACAGCTTGTCCAAAGACAGATTCTCTCTCACACTCCCACCACACCCAGACTATTTTCCCTAGAAGCACTTTAACAAGTGTCATGAGTGGCTTCCTATGGAAGCCAGACAGTATGAGCAAGCATCCCTTTCTGTAGAGCTGCACTCACAGCAAATATCTCAAAGATCCTGAAGGAGGAAGAAGGGAAAAAACCCCCAACCCCAAAAAACCCTCCACTTTCTACAGACTTGAGCTAGAAAAGAGGAGCCAAGGCTTCGTACAAACTTTGAAGATACAAACTTTCCACTTTCTACAGACTTGAGCTAGAACAAGAGGAGCCATGGCTTCATACAAACTTTGGAGATACAAACTTTCTCTGGCTCTTCACACACCAGCACGGATGTGCAAATACTTGTAACCAATCTCCATACAGTTTTTACATTTTGAAACAGATATCCTTTCTCCCTTCTCCTCTTAACACCTTACACTGGTGTTTCTGCGCCTGGTGTTCCTCACCGGGACACCAGAACTAGGCAGGCCCCTTCCAACCCCTCTGAAATGGGGGAACCTCAACCCCATGTGCAGACACCCAGGCAGAGAGCTGCTCTCACCTTGTCCAGAGTCATGTCAGGGAGGTTGGGAGTGATGTCATTGCTCTCACTGTCCTGCTCCGAGATGGGATCTGATGCCTCATAGCCATACAGTGCGAGCAGCTCCTCAAATGGCATTTCACTGCTCTGAGCAAGAGGAGGACAAAGCTGCATCAGGAAGAGAACAACCACAAGAGCACCACACCAGCTGGAACACCGGCAGAGGCAGTCAGGCCACCTCTGGGGGCTCTGAGAAGCCTCAGGTGTCACTGCTGGGACTCATTGTAACCTGTCCCTCTCAGAGGTATGGAAAAGCCAGGAACTTTCACCCCAAAGCAATATAGTCTAGGGCATTTTAAAAATACCTTTATTTTTATTCTAGATTTCAAATAGGTGCCAGACAGCACAACTGTATTAAAGCAGAGGAAGGGAAAGAGCAAATCCCTGTACCACTCTTGTGCCTGGCCTGAAGAGACATTCCCTGTCACCAAGATCAATTTGTGTTCCACTGAGGTCTCTGTGGGACCACCCACAGCTGAAGTCAGGGCTTCACACAGCAAACAAGCAAATCCTCCAGGTAATTTCCCTTCCCCTCCCCTGCTGCCTTTACCTGAGAGGCACTGAAACTCTTCTCCAGCTCTTCTAAAGATTTCTGCTTCTCCTGAGTATCATCTTCCTCCCTTTCTTCCCTCACACCGTAGTTCTGGGAAAGGATCTCTGCCAGGTTCAGTCGATGATCAGCTGAGCCCATTGACACAACTGTAGGGATCAGAAGAAGTTGGACACTAGCACCACCATGGACCAAATCTTGAGATGCAACAAAGGCAGGGATGATCCCTTCTTGTGTGTGTGCAGATATGATAAGCCAGAGGAAGAGATTAGGCAGAACAGAGGGGAACAGAGATCCCAACTGGCAGCAGTCACTTCATCAGCACAAAGCCTGGTTCTGTGCACATTTGAGTCCCACAACTGACTGGAAGCTGGATCTGAAGCTTTTCTGGGTATTTGTATCTCACTCCTCACTGGATTTGCTAGTGTCACAACCTGTGTGCACACATTGCAGCCTTTCCTTCGCCTGGGGGCATTTTTAGGGTAATCACCCCTTACTCAAGAATGATCAAATAGACATCTGTAGGAGCTTTGGCATCACCCCTTACTCAAGAATGGCTAAATATTACTTTTTATCTCCTACTTTCATGGATTTCCCTTTGTCCCTTTTCCCTCCCTGCAGGCCCATGAGGTGCTTTTCTGGGATTGTTGCCAGTGCCGTTGCACCTGTGTCCTTGGCCAGGGCCTTACCTGCCATGACCACGCTTGCAACGAGGATAAATCCTGTGGAATCTGGGAAGGGGTCTTGGGATACACCAATAAAAGTGAGGAAAAAATGGGGGAAAAGGGTAATCCCCCCTTACTCAAGGTAATCACTCCTTACTCAAGAATGACCAAATAGGCACCTGTAGGAGCTTTGGCTTCTTTAAGCCTTTCCTCCCCTGTCAAACAGCATGGGAATCAGAACAAGAGGCTCGGGAGGTGTTGCAAGGAGAAGGGAAGTGATCCCAGTAACTTTGTTTCCTCTGGAAGCCAGACCAACAGACAGAGGGAGGTGAGCCTGGAGGTACCTGCAGCGCTCTGAAGGGCAGGATCTCCAGGACATAGGCCACGGGCTGGGTAAGGAACCACCCTGGGGCTCTGCCGGCCAACAGAGGCCTTCAGGAAAAGAGAAAAACACAGCTGAGACAGCTCTCCTTAAAAACACACCACCCACCCTTCCACCCACTTCGCCCCACCAGCAAGGTCATTGAAACTCAAAGCAAAAGTTCCCCAAAGCCCCAGAGGCAGTGTTAGGAACTGTGCTGCTCAAAAGAGCTCATCAGGTGTACTGAGCAGTTCTTCCTGGCCTCCTCAGCTTCCCCTCAGCCCATGTGTTTCCATTCCATCTATTTTACCTCCAGCACTCCCTTCACTACTTATCCCCCCAGAATCTGAGACCACAGATCTTTTGTGGCTTAGATCTTCACTTAAAGAACAACCTGGACCCTCAGCTGTTACTCTAAACACACACATTGTGTCTGAGCACAGCATTTTTAGGGACTGACCCTTCAGAGAGCAGCCAGCCACAACACCCTGGCTTCTCCCTGGTGCCTCCACTGTACCCAGGAGCAGAGAAACAGCTGAGCAGGCAGAGCCCCAGAACAGGCACCTGCAGGGTGGCATTTGGTGCTCGGTCACGAGGTCAGGCAGCAGCATGGGCTGAGGAAAACAGCCCAGACAGAAAATCTGCTGCTCCTCAGGCTGCTGTGCATGTTCATCAAGTTCAGCCTAGGCAGGGAGCAAACAGGTGAACAAGCAAAGCTTTTGGGTGACTGACAGCACCTGACTGCAGGAGAAAATCCCAGAGTCAGCCCCCAAGTTCCCAGTGACATCTCTGTAGGATACTCAGCCATCAACAATCTCAGCTCTGCACCATCACTACTCACTTACACACTTGGAGCCAGGACATTTCCAGGCTTCCATAGGAGCTTCTTACAATTTATTTAAGAAAACACAATATAGCTTCACATTAAAATCTATCCTCTAATAACAAAGCAAAGTATTCACCAAAAAAAGCCACCAGAGACTGTGGGTTCTGATTAAGCTCCTTCAGCTATCAACATACAGACTGGAAATTCCATAATAAGCAAGAAGATGCCTCCAGTCCATCATCCCCCAAGATAATCCCCCCAGAGATCTGGCTCCAGACAGAGCTCTACAACTGTGCACACGAAAAGAGAAGGGAGAAGTTATGGGATGATGAAAGGAGAAGGGGCAGACTCCATTTTGAGGATGGCCATACCAGGAAATGACTCTGTAAGTCAGGAAAGTGTCAATGTGCCTTTGTTGGACTTTGCTGGAATGTGACCAAGCACAAAACCCTCTTGGGATAAATCCTTCCAAGAAAACAAGAGTGGTTTCATGGAAGGGGTGTGGTGTACCCTTACTCCCTCCAGGTCTTGGACAGCCTACAGAACTCACTTTGCTCAGGCAATGATCTGTAGATCAATGGCACCTCCTTGCCTGGGGATCAATAAGGCCTCTGAAAACAAAGATTGAAGCTGTTGGCATGGATGGGCTGGCTTGAAAAGGTGTCAAGAATACTTCAGGAACAAGGAAATCTCCAATTAATAACCACGTGCTGAAAGGAGGAGGATTGGCCACTACAACAGTGTGATAATTCCATAACTAATCAAGAGTTTAATTCTCTGAAGCAGTAACAGAGCACCAGAGCAATGGGTATGCTGGAGTCACCATGGAATAACCAGCACTGCTCTGCTGGGGCTGAGGACACAAGAAACACACAAAGCAAATGGCCCATTCCATGCCCAAATTTGAATACATGTGGAACAGAACAATCCCTCAGATTACTCACAAATTCAGAAGACCACAGAAACAAGAATCAAAGGAGTAAAAGAGAAAGGCTTAAAAATGCAGCTGATGACAGAATATTTCTGATTGCCCTGATTATCAATGCCATGGGATGTGGAGTTACTTAGTCTGCAGATGAGGTAGGTGCAGCCTGACACTTCAAATCCAAACACCACACAGGAGGCAGAAATGCAAGAGCATGGCACGCAGCAGAAACACAGAGAATGGTTCTGGGCCAGGGTGTCACTGCTCCTGCTGCTGCTGAGGGATTCCATGAGTTATTCTCCCAGTGCACTGTGATGCTGGAAATTTGCTCCTATGCCCATGGGTCATAATCTTGAAGGGTCAAAAAGGGAGATTAAATTCCTTTAATTTCACTTTACTATCCCCAGCACTGTTTTCTTCCTCCCAGCTTCTGCTGCTCAGGCATAAGAGTAACTTTCCTCTCAAAGTTACACTGAGGTTGGTCAACTACTCACTCTGATGTTTGTATTTCTGGGTGACTCCTGCACCCCCTCCTTAGGTGTGGACTCAAGTCTTTGAGCACATGCAATGAAGCTCAGCCATCATTTAGGACACACAGGGCAGAGGCAGAGTCTGAGCTCTCTGCCCTGACAAAGTAATTTCCCAGCATGAGGCCAGTTGTGTCTAACCTGAGAAAACCCTCCAGACTGAAGCCACTCTCGCAAAAAAGTGAGGAAAAGAAAGAAATTTCCCTTTCCAGTGCTACCCTTCAATAACTAACATAGTTTCTTGAGCCAGTCTAACACATATTTCATATCCAGTGAGAAGCCTTCCTGCTTCCTCTGCCTTGTGCACACTCCTTGGCCATGGGGCCATTTTCCACAAACCCCAGCTGTAGCCAGAGGGAAGCTGCAGGGATGGAAAGAGATTTATCCTGCAAGTTATGTCTCTGAAAGACCGAAGAATAAACAGATGACAGAACACACAGACGACCTTCAGCACTGCCCACGAAGATCAGGGCTCCATCACACCTGTGCAGAGATGCTCCACAGCCAAACCTCATCCAAGAGACAGTGACAATTCCTGGATGTCCCCTGGACAGACCTCTCTGAGCCACAGCCATGCAAGGCAGCACTCTGGCCCAAAAACATGCCCAAACAACACCCTGGCACAAGTGAATGCAACAACCTTGGTGCTCCACCAAAGGCCAAAGCATGGTGGGTGGGCAAACAGGCCAGGCAGCACCTTCCTCATGTAGAACGCTGAAATAACCTGGAAGAGAAGCCCTGCTCTCACACAGATGTTGGCAGTACCAATGGGGATCTGAGATCCTGCCACAGAGTACCTGGAAATCTTCCCAGCCCCTTTGTTCCAAGTTGTGCCCACCATGAGGGTCATGCCATAGGAATGAAGTGTGCATGTGTCACAACAGCCATTACAACAGGTCAAGGATATTTGAGGGACATGGCAAGACCTGATGGGCAATGGCATCACCAGCTCAAAGTGGGACAGAGCAATGAGCACAAGACACCAAGGCAAACACGACACCAAGGCAAACACGACACAGCAATCGGGGAGGCAGTGGGGAGTCCCCACCTGGCCCCCGGGCAAGGTGGCGAGAACCATCCTGGCTACCCAAACCAAACCAACCATTCCCGACACCTTCTCAGCCCTCTGCCATTCCTAGGACCCTGATCTCAGTGTTCAGGGCGCCTCTCACCTGAGAGCCCCTTCCAACAGCTCCACACCCCTGAGCCCATCTCCAGCGACCCCAAACAGTGCCGGGTCCAGCTGGGCCACAGCCCCGGGGCTCCCCGTCCGTTCTGCCCCCGGGCCTTTCCCGCAGCCTCTCCCCCCGCGGTCCCGCAGCCCCTTCGCGCCCCTCTCCGGGCCCTTCTCCGCGGGTCAGGCCGCGGGGTGCCGGGGCTCTCCCGCCGGGTCCCGCCCGGCCGCCCCTTCCCGTGCCCGCTCCCGCCGGCGCGCCTCGGCCCGGCCCGCCCCCGCCCCTCGGCCCGCTGCCGCCCAGGGCCTCGGCGTCCCTCGGGCCCCCGCCCCGCCGGCCCGCGCCGGCCCATCACCCCGCAGCCGCAGGACGGCGGCCTCGGGCAGCCGCGGCTCGGGGGTGCCGCTGTGCCCGCCCGGCCGGGAGCGGCCCCGGGAGCGGCCCCGGGCCCGGCGCGACCCCGGCGGCGGCGCCGCGCTCACCTCCGCCATGGCCGAGCGCGAGCGGCAGGGGGCGCGGGGCCCGGATGCGGCGGCGGCCGCTGATTGGCCGCGCCCGCGGGGGCGGGGCCCGGATGCGGCGGCGGCCGCTGATTGGCCGCGCCCGCGGGGGCGGGGCCGGGCCCGGCGCGGCCTCAGCGGCTCCGGGGCGGGGCCGCAGGCGGGGCCGCGCCGGGCCCGGGGCGGCCGCGGGGCGCCGGTGTCTCGTAGCGAGGGGTGGCGCGGATGGAGGAGAGTGGAGGCTGCCGGTGCCCGCAGCAACGCTCCCCGAGTACCGGCTGGAGCGCTTGGTCGCTGCCGGAGCCGCCCCGGGACCGCGGCTGCAGCCCCTCAGGGAAGTGAATCCCCCGGGCAGCGCCGGTCCCGCGCCCTGGGCCGGGTCCCTCCGGTCGGAGCAGGCCCAAGGACGGTGCCCGGCTCCCCCCGGCCACGGGGACGCAGTGGGGACCACACAGGTCAGACGAAAAGCCGTGCTCACCAGCCCAGCCTTCTTCATGCATCACGAAGCTTGAACCTCCAGGGAGCGCTTTCAGGGATCCTCACTGATCACTCCCGTGATTAAAAGTCACTGCATGTCAGAGTTCACAGAAGAGGGAAACAACGGCTGGAGCCCAGTGAGAAGGCCTATTCCAAGTTCCCATTCCGAGTTTCCAGTTCCCATTCCCACTTTTCCATTCCCATCCCCATTTCGGCTGTGCCTCGCAAGGACTGGGGTGTAGGTACTGTCTCACCGTTCCTTGCTGTGGCTGTGCTTCCAGAACCTTAGAGATGCACTTGTGGAAGCTGCCTGATGGGTTTTTCCAGCTCTGTTTAACTGGTGGTGACCCCATGCTTCCAGAGAACAGCGTTCCAGCATAACGAATGAACTCATCTCCAGGGATTCCTGAAGTGAATGGCTCTGTCAGGCTCCTCTCCATCCTCACAGCCCCTCGGGGACTCCCTGATCCCTCAAGGAGTCCAGCAAGGCAGCCCTTCCCTCAGGGTGTACAGTGACATGGTGACCTTTGCCACCAGATCTCACCATACAAGGAGTCCCGTGGGGCATCATCCAGCTCATGCCAGTGCCTGTGCCCAGATCTGCCTCTGGCTGTGCCCACAGAGGCCTCGTGCTCAGTCTCTGGGAGCAGCCTCTCCACCCTGGCAGCTGGCTCCATGCTGGGTTTTGCTCATGCTTCTGAGCTCAGGAAGCAAAGTGTTATCAAGTGCTTCTGAAGTGGTGGTGGCCCTCGAGCTGAGAACCAAAGCACTTCACCAGCCTTTTGTTCCCTTGCTTGGAGCTGTCTGGCTCTTCTCAAAGGACTAACAGTTTGCAGATGCTGTTTGTTCAATAAAAAGGGTAACCTTGCCTCCAGCTTCAGGAAAACGTCTGCAAAAACTGCTGATTTCTGCCTTGTTCCCAGCAGTGCATTTGGGTGCTCTGTCACCACAAAAAACAGAGAGGTTGGGGGTTTGTGTCAAGGCCTGAGGTTTGGTTCAAGGCCTGGAGTTTTGGGTTAAGGTCTGGGAAGATCCCCACTGGTTATAATCCTGGAGCAGTGCCGTTGCCAGCTTCTGCTTCTCCAATTTAGTGTTTGCACTGACAGAACCAGGCTGAGTCTCCTCAAGCAGCTGCTCTTCTCTCAGGGATCAGTGAAACTCCTCTCAGGAGACACCTCCACTGCGTGGGACACCCATTTCTGTCCTCAGAAGGACCAGGCTCTGAAGGCAGCACATTGCCCATCCCTGCTGCCAAAGCCATCATCCTAAATCAGAGATTTTAGTGCCTGACATTCGGCATTCTGAGATTTTCAAAGGCATTTTAAAAAGCCTGAAGGGCAGTGGAATTCCAGGTGGGTCAGGCTCTGCAGGTGTTTGGGAGTGATTGGTCAGGACACTCCCACAGCAGCTCTTGTACAATTGCTGCTCTGTGGACAGAGACAACAAACCCCACATGGGTGAAGTGGCTTTGGCTGAATCTTGGGTTGATCTGCCTGCAAAACCAGGGTGACCCGACATCCTGCTGTCCTTTCCTCCACCTGTGCCCTCCCTGGTAAGCAATTCTGCTTCTTGGAAAAGCTTTGCAACCCTGAGACAAAGGGCAAATTCTTTCTCTTTGATGCAGCTTAGCCACGGAGTGTTTAGCCACAAGGGATGGTAGATAAAGAAAAGTTTACAAGGATTAAAAGAGCAATGTTGCTAGGAGGTGTCAGTATTGGTAGAGTGTAGGAATCTGTGGTATTGATGATTCTGA